AGCGCTTTTCTGAACCCTCCACTCAAAGCGCTTTACAGGTCATGGGGAATCCCACTACCCCCACCAATGTGCAGCCCCCACCTGGATGATGCGACAGCAGCCATAGTGCGCCAGAACGCTCCCCACACAGCAGCTCTCAGTGGGGAGGAGAGCAGAGTGATGGAGCCAGTTCAGAGAGGGGGGTTATTAGGAGGCCATGATTGGTAAGGGCCAATGGGAAGTTTGACCAGGACACCGGGGTTACACCCCTACTCTTTTCGAGAAACGCCCTGGGATTTTTAATGACCACAGAGAGTCAGGCCCTCGGTTTGACGTCTCATCCGGAGGACGGCGCCTGTTTACAGTCTAGTGTCCCCCGTCACTATACTGGGGCATTAGGACCCACACAGACCGCAGGGTGAGAGCGCCCCCTGCTGGCCCCACTAACACCTCTTCCAGCAGCATCCTTAGTTTTTCCCAGGTCTCCCATCCACTCTTGGTTTATAGTGTTGTTTACTTACGTTTGAGATAACATCTGGAAATGAATAGTAAATACGTGGTTTTAAGGGGTTTGAGTTGGGACGTTCATGCCGTGATTGCAGGAGGCCTCAAAAGTGGAAATGTACTGTAGTTGTCTTTTTTTTGTACTGAAATACTGGGGGAAAAAAAGTTTTTCAAACTCATATGCGTTGTATGGCATTTCCACAGTACTTTAAGTTTCCGCCTTTTAATTTTTGCTGATTTCTGTCCACTGACCAGTGCTTAATTAATAACATTTAGATTCAAATTGCATTGCCACGTTGGTTTTTGGTTAAATGCTTTTAAATTGTAGCTGACGTACGATTTGCTAGGTCTGAAGTAGACCTTTTCTCTTTATTTTTATTGGCAGAACCAAGACCTGAGAAGTAAGGTAAATATGTTTATATTGTATGTTCGTTTATATGTGTGTTTAACCATCCCTTTTTCTTCATAAAAAAATCTGTACAAACATCTTTTTTGTAGGGGTGGCTATATTATGGAAGCAACGGGTTTTTAAAATAGGGTCTCTTAGCGGGGTTTCATAGCAACCGTTACTAAGGAAGCGCAGCTTAACGCGGAATTCCGGTCTGCATTTAGTTCCTGTTTTAGACAGTTTGACACGTGACTACGTCTCCTGTGCTGGTAGGGGCTAAGATCCCTTTGCGTTTGCATAGTTTCGCAGTGGTAGAAGTTGTTTCACCTCCCCCCCCCATAACGACTCTGAAGAGAGATGGCGAATTGGATATTAAGCCTGGAGGGCGAACTCCTGTCTCTCCTGCAGGTTTTGATCACACCGATCGTGTCCGACATTTCCGAGCTTCTGCGAAACGGGATAGATGAGACCGAGCTCTCGTTGAAAGACCAGCTCCGCAGCCTGTCGCACACGCCTGTTACGCGGATCGTGGTTAAGATTGTCTAGGACAGTGTCGGGAGCGAAATCGCGCAGATGAAGCAGGAGATTCGAGACCCTGAAGGGGAGACTGCAGTTCTGGGAGAAGGATTCAGGAGCAGGAGATGATCGGGGACAGTACAGATCATCTCGGACACACGCCTCCCTGTGAAGGCACTGCAGACATCAAAGATGAAATGGGGCACGTATTTAGCATTATCGGGTACGTTTAGTGACTTTTGCGAGCAAAATGTCTTTTTTTAAAAAAAAAGACGCAGTTGAGAATATCGTATACCAATAACAAAATAGTATAGAGACGCAGGAGTATGTAATAACACTTAAATAGCGCTTTTCTGGACACTCCAATCAAAGCGCTTTACAGGTAATGGGGATCCCCTCCACCACCTCCACCAATGTGTAGCCCCAACCCGGATGATGCGATTATAACGGGACAGAAAGACATAAACACCCCAAAGACTGTAATGCATAAATGCATAAATGAAGTCCTGTTGTACAATGCACAGGTGATATGACAAGGCAGGAAAAACCTTATTGTTGGAAAATGAAATATCAGAAATGTTGGGGTTTTTTTTAATGATCATCTAATCGTTAAGAGCCGGGATCCAGACTTGATTCAGCAGTAATAATAATATAATAATAATAATAATAATAACAATTGCTTACACTTATATAGCACTTTTCTGGACACTCCACTCAAAGCGCTTTACAGGTCATGGGGAATCCCACTACCACCACCAATGTGCAGCCCCCACCTGGATGATGCGACGGCAGCCATAGTGCGCCAGAATGCTCCCCACACAGCAGCTCTCAGTGGGGAGGAGAGCAGAGTGATGAAGCCAGTTCAGAGAGGGGGTTATTAGGAGGCCATGATTGGTAAGGGCCAATAGGAAATTTGGCCAGGACGCCGGGGTAACACCCCTACTCTTTTCGAGAAGCGCCCTGGGATTTTTAATGACCACAGAGAGTCAGGACCTCGGTTTTACGTCTCATCCGAAGGATGGCGCCTGTTTACCTGGCATAAGGCAAATGTGACTTACCTGTTGCCTTAGGATGTGCATAAGGAGAGAAAGTTTGGTCAGTTTCTAGTGTGCTGCAGTAGCAGGGAAGTACTGCAAGCATGGTGCCTCTGGGTTCAGCTCCTGGGGTGCTGTCTGGGTGGAGTTTGCATGTTCTCCCCTTGTTCGTGTGGGTTTCCTCCAGGTGCTCCAGTTTCCTCCCACAGCCCAGAGACAGGCTGGTGGGTCAATTGGCGTCTGGGGAAATTGGGGAAAATTAGCCCTGGTGTAGGTAAGTATGTGCGTGTCTTGCTTGTGTCTGTGTGTGCCCTGCGCTGGACTGGCGTCCCCTCCGGAGTGTATCCTGCCTTGCGCCCCGTTGCCTGTTGGGATAGCCTCCGGAACGGCCCTGAACTGGGGGGGAAACAGTTCGAAAACCGGTTTGACGGAGGCAGGCGTCCCCTGCTCCTGAAGGGAGTTTTTCCGGGGTGACCTGGATGTTCCCACACCTTGTCCGTCTGGTCCCTGGTTGGCTCGCTTAAATTGGGAAGAAAATATCCTGCCTCCGGGGATATTTAGGTCATTCCCTCGGGCAATCGGGCACAATATCCCGTTTTTCTTCCAATCGATCTCTTTTTCTATAGGATGTGCGGTTGACTATTTAGATTTCTGAACTACATCGCTTGTCAGGATGGCCGAGTGGTCTAAGGCTCCAGACTCGAGGACTGGTGTCTTTCCAGCTCGCCTGGGTGTTCTGGTCCCCAAATGGAGGAGTGGGTTCAAATCCCACTCCCGATAGCTTCTGTTTTAGGGCTGAGGATCTGCGCCTGTGGCTGGAAGGGTTTGCTGGTTCAAATCCCGCGGCCGGCAGAGGAATCCTACTCCGTTGGGGCCCCTGAGCCAGGCCCTTCACCCCAGCTGCTCCAGGGGCGCCGTATAAATGGCCGACCCTGCGCCCTGACCCCCAGCTTCACTCTCTCCCTGTCTGTGTGTCTCACGGAGAGCAAGCTGGGGTCTGAAGAAAGACCAATTCCTCATGCAAGAAATTGTATAGGGCCCATAAAGTGATCTGATCCTATCTCTTGCATGCGTTTTTCCCCCCTTTCTGTAATACCGAACGTATATAACATTGGCTTTTCTGAGTTACTCTTCAATGCTGAAGCAGTAAGGCGTCTCAACCAAAGTGCCATTGATGGGATACTCCAAGACTGAGCAGTCACTTTGGCTGGTTTTTTATTAGCTGTTAAAAGGTGGAGAGGGACAATTGCCATGAAACCCCAGTCTGTGAAACCTAAAAGAGTTTCCGTTCAAGGGCTGAAGTAGCAAAGTGAGTACAGACAGCAATCTCTGTGTGGAGTTGAAAAGATATCGCCCCGCCCCTGAGGGAACGGCAGGTGTCCATCAGAGTCTCCTTATGGAGACTCGGCTCTGAGGCTTGTGGGATACGCCCGTCTGTGCAGAGAAGTGAAGGCCGAGTCAGAAGCAAGCAGGGAGAGCTCTGGTTTTTAAGCTGACGCAACGCTTCAAGGACAGGAGAAGCAGTCATTTTCCGTTCCTGATGGGTTTTTGCTTTCAACAAAGAAGAGCAGTTAATAAAATAGTTTCTCACACTCCCTTCTTCAAGCGGCAGAGAGAAACATGATTCAAACGCCCCGTGCCCTTGACAAGCTGGGGTGCTCTCCCACTTTGTTGTGAGTATCCGGCTGCTTCTGCAGCACAGCTCTGTCCGTAAAACAACATCTTTAGGATAAAACGCTTTTTCTCGGTAGCTTCCATTACAGTCTTCAAGACCGAACAGTTCGGACAGCACGCAGGCCGGGCGAAGAGGCCGTTCTCTCGGTCTCCATTGAACTCCTCCTTGGTTGTGTTCAGTATGGAGGACCGGCCGGGGAACTTGCGTCAAGCGTGACAGCGGGAGAACACACAAAAAACGAAAGAGCAGGACAAGCGCCGCGCGTCTCGCGGTCCGCACAGGATCGAGGGCGAGTTCCGTTGTCACTCAGACTTTGCAGAGGGGGGATCGGCCGTCCCGGTGCATGCTGGGATAGGGTCGGCCGCCGCCGCCGCCCTGAACTGGATGCAGCGGTCAAAATAGCGGAGGGGTGGGTGGAATCTCCTCCCTCTGCGCCAGCGCGGGAGATCTTCTCGCGCTCCATCGCCTTGGACAAAACAACAAAACAACGTTCAGCCATGGAAGTAAACCATCGCTACTCCACCACGAGACAGGAACTTCCTCACGGCCTGACCAGGACTGGTCAACGAATCCAGTCCAGTCCGCGTGTTTGCTCCAGCTCAGCTGTAACTCACCAGTGGAGGCACCCTGCTTTAATTAAGAAGCTCGGGATCGATTCCATCGTTGATGGAAGGTTCGAGGACCGGTAATGTCCTAGATGGGAAGATCTAGGGCCGGCGACCTCTAGCATAGTATAAGCAGGTCTGTGCTTTTGGCGGTTTTTATTAAACTGCAGCAAGAAATAATAATATTTGCTTACACTTATATAGCGTGTTTCTGGACACTCCACTGTAAACAGCTGTTTACAGGTAATGGGGAATCCCACTACTACCACCAATGTGGAGCCCCCACCTGGATGATGCTCCAGTCTGCTCAGCACACAGCAGCTCTCAGTGGGGAGGAGAGCAGAGTGATGAAGCCAGTTCAGAGAGGGGGGGTTATTAGGAGGCCATGATGGGTAAGGGTCAATGGGAAATTTAGCCAGGACGCCGGGGTTACACCCTTACTCTTTTCGAGAAACACCCTGGGATTTGTAATGATCACAGAGAGTCAGGACCTCGGTTTTACATCTCATCTGAAGGACGGCGCCTGTTTACAGTCCAGTGTCCCCCGTCCCTATACTGGGGCATCAGGACCCACACAGACCGCAGGGTGAGAGCGCCCCCTGCTGGCCCCACTACCACCTCTTCTAGCTGCAACCAGAGTTTTTCCCAGGAGGTCTCCCCTCCAGGTACTTACCAGACTGTGAGTTGCAGGGTGATATGGCTGCTGGCCACCGAGCTCTCAAAGACTCGGTTTTAGACTGTTCTATAGGTGTTTCCTGGGGTTTTAGAGTAGCTGTCTGAGGCCATTACCCAGTGCGATGGATCTGAACCTCAGCCAGTGTAGCACAGGGGACCTTCAGTACGATGTATATGAGTGTCCAGGAGGTTCCTGGAGATTTCTTTTAAAAGCCTGACAGAAAAACTCGCCTAAATCGAATTAACTGGACACCCCTGACTGGAGTGCGGCTGTGTTTTCAGTAGTGTCTGCAGTTACCCGAGAACTAAATTTTGGAAGGAAGCTCTCTTCAGCTAATAGTGGCCCTAAACCAAACTGTTTCAATTCAATTCAACTTAATTCAACTCAACTTTATTGCCATTATACTTGCACAGGTGCGGAGTAGAGTGAAAAGTGTTTCTCATGAGTCACTCAGGAGCGGTATATAAATAGGACAGACGATGAGACACTAGACAGTAACACAATAGCGATAACAGTAACGTGTAATAACATCACGTAATCAAAACTGTGCAAAATCCGCAAACAGAGAAGAGAATACAAGAGGACACAAATAGTGCAAGGTCATTCTTGGAACAGTGCAAAAATAGTACGGTGATTAATAAATATTACAAGTAATACAGTTTTCCCGAGCTATCGAAGGGACGGGACAATTACAATTGTAATTACAATTACAAATACTGACCCCAAACCAGACTGTTTCATTGCTTGCCGGCACTCTCTGGGATGCCTGCGCTCTGTGCTCAGTGCCTCAGGTGCACATCAGTGAATAGAATCGTCCCGGTTCGGCCTTTCCAGCGCCTTACCTTTTCGCTTCGACTTCGTCCTCGCCAAAGCGACTGCCGAGATCATCCCCAGCAGCCCGCAGACCACCAGGGCGGCGTACACCCGGTAGAAGGTGGAGGTGATGCCGAAGAGGCCGTCCCTCCCTGCAGAAATCAAACAGCCCCTATTAATCAGACATCAGGTCTCCAGCTGTTGATAACGGAAACGCTGCCCTCCCTATTCAAGCACAGCATCTACTCACGATGGGTTCCCCTAACACTTAAAGTTGCTGATGCCAGGGGTCCCCGTTAGTCTTCTAGGTCATCCTGTCTCGCCTGTTGTTTCAAGAGTAGGAACCTTTCTAGGTTCAATTAACCAGAAAGAAGAGCACAGCAGGTTCAGTTAAGATGGCTGAACCTTGTCCTGAACTACATTTCCCAGAGGGCTTCGGGGGTAGGGCTGGGGGGTGGGGTTAAGTCACCTGACAAGTTGCTGAAGAGCAAATTGATTGGCCGAGACGCTCGTTTTCGAAGGGCTCTCGGGGAGAGAGACGGCACTGTCTTTGGAAGAACTGGGGCACAGTCCGTGTAGGATGTAGAGGCGACCTCTCTGGTTTTCTCACCCTGTCGTTTAGCAGCGAATGCGATCTGATCTCTTTACGAGCTTGGAGGTCGGAGAACCCGTTTTTGCACAGCGCCGCAAATCCGTGGAATGAAACGAATTCATCTTCTATCCCCTTTATCTAGAATTTTTCCAGAAGCCAATTCACCTACCAGCAAGTCTTTGGACTGGGACAGGCAAACCTGGGGGGGGGGGAGAACATGCAAACTCCACACAGACAGCAGCACCCCAGGAATTGAACCCCGGGCCCAGGGTAGGAAAAAACACAACTGATCGTTGTTTTCAGACATTAAACGATGGGCAGAGCTCAGTGCGAATGTCCCCTTTGGCGCTATACGGGGCACTAAAATTGGCAGCACTAAATAAATGACGGCAGGCGAGAGTCTCACCAGCGCACACCAGTCCTGCCTCTTCTCCCAGGGTGCAGTTCGTCGTGTTCGTGGGCGACGGCGGGCAGAAGAAAATCCGAGATTCGTTGCCTCGGCACCGGAGCGCCCCTGACCACACCGGGCCGCCCCCTCTCCCGAAATAAGACGCCCGCCCCACTTTTTCGGGGGTCCCGCAGTGCAGCTCCCGGCAGACGACCTCGGCGCTCGGCCGGTCGAAGTCCGAGCGGCACACGGAGCCCCAGGTCGTCCCGCGAAGCACCTCCAGCCTCCCCGAGCAGCGATCCCAGCCTCCCGCCAGCCTGGCCGCATGGTGCCCTGGGATTGCAGCACAGGAGAAACCCGCCCGGGAGGTTAATGTTTCCGATCAGTTTAGACCAGTCATGTCCCGTTTCCCATCGTCCGTTTTTTTCCCCAATTCAGGGTCAGGGGGCAGGCTGGGGTCAATCCCAGCAAGCAACGGGCGCGCAAGGCAGGATACACCGGGGGATGGGACACCAGTTCAGCACAGGGCACAGGGCCATCACCCGGGGGCCAATTTACCCAGAAGTCAACTAAGCCACCAGCATGTCTATAGAGACCAGAGCACCTAGAGGAAACCCACATGAATGTGGGGGAGAACATGCAAACTCCACGCAGACAGCAGCCCTAGTCCGGAATTGAACCCAGTGGAATGCCCACCTCTGCAATATTCCATTCGGGCAATAGCAGACAGTCACTTAAACCGACCCACAGCCTGTGCCAGAACTATAGGGCACCCAGTGAGACCACACCTCTGACAGATACCAGTCCTATCGCAGAAAACACACTGCCCTTCAAATTTCAACAACATCTCCCAAACGACCTGCTGAAGCAGCACCAGGAGACCACCGTGCCGACACCGCGGAGGACACGCGGACTCCACCGAGACTGTGCGCCCTTCATCAAAAGAGGAACTGCACTGCAATTTCCGTATTTCGGGGGTTTGGAAGGAATCGGCGGTGAGGACGATTTCAGACCCCGTGACACTGTAAACAAGCAGCGTTGCGAATCCAGCTCTTTTTAATTCAGTAGAAGTTTTGCTCGCGACTTCCAGACGGTTTTGCCAACAGATACTACTTCTTAACTCTGCATGCAGATCACATTGGACCACCTTCTGCAGTGAAATGTCTGCTGCACACAACTTGTACATCGCAGTACATCAAGTCATCATAGTGACTAGTGAGCAGGAAGGGCAGCGTCGCTTTGCAATTCCTGGGAATTCGAATGCGAATTCACAACAACATGGCGACTTCCAGTACTTTCCACAATGTTTATGATTTAGCGCTTATATATTTAAAAAAATGTCTTTTAATTACCATCAATGCCATTGCAGTACATTAGTCATTGCAGGGACTAGAGAGGGGGAAGGGCAGCAGAAAGGGAGTTTGAAACGACATGGTGACTTAACGCCACTTTTCACAGGTCACAGTTTTGTGCTTCATTTGGAATTTTGGTCCATTTTCTCTGCAGCCAATTTAATTTAATTTCGGGACCGAGATTTAATAACGGGTCGGAGTTTCTGATATGGAGTAAGAGCTCGTCCCCCACCTGAGCAAACCGCTCCAGCCTCCCAGCTGACGCGCTGTTGTTCTCTGACTTTACCGGGCCGGCAGTACTGCAGTGCAGACTCGGATCCGTCGCAGGACACGCCACTCAGAACCGCCGCTCCGGGATCGGTCCCGGAGTGGGATCGGCCCGGATCGGCGGAGAGGGCCGGACCGCAGCCGAGCTGCTTGCACACGACCGAGGCGCTGAGGAGGTCCCAGCCCACGTGATCGATGATCATCCAGCGCCTTTTGTGATAAAACTCCACCGTCCCAGCACATGGGCTGCCCTCATTTACCAGCCTCACCTCCGCGATGCCTGGAGAGAGAAAGACATGGGTCACACACACCAAGACCATATAATATCCCAGTGTCCGGAGAGGGCGACACACAGCCTGATTAATACACACACTGACAGTATTAACCTCTGTTGCACACACACGTACAAAAGCCAAGCAACGATGGTGAGGATCGCAGTTGTAACACTCAATAGAAAAGGAGGAGTACGGCCAAAGGATTATGGTGATGCCCCAAGGGGCATTGCAACAGAGTTTCTTCAAATAGGCACATCATGGTCAACAGACACCACCAGACAGCCATTAGACTCACACACACGTACAAAAGCCAAGCAACGATGGTGAGGATCGCAGTTGTAACACTCAATAGAAGAGGAGGAGTACGGCCAAAGGATTATGGTGATGCCCCAAGGGGCATTGCAACAGAGTTTCTTCAAATAGGCACATCATGGTCAACAGACACCACCAGACAGCCATTAGACTCGAAAGCAGTGCTCTTTGTTTTATATTTTTATTATAAGTGAGGGAACAAAAGCCAACCTCTGTAGACCAAACCGCACAAAAGCCTAACTCTTCTTTTGAGCTGCTAACTAAATCTAGTCATTCTTTTCGTGTATGAAAGCTCACAGAGTATCTTGTCTCATGGCCTCTGGCCTACAGATTCTCCGACTGACTGACTCAGAAAGCCTCAGCTTCCTGCTTTTTAAATGTGCACCCAACCAATCATCTCCCTGGGACCGATCAGGTGACTAAGGGGACCCAACAGCTCATTGCCCGCAAAGGCTTCTGGGGAATGCGGTCCAGACGAGGCGGCCATTTTGTCCGGCCCAGAGGAGCCGTCACGATCAGGAAAGGCATTTCAGTTGTGCTCACTGATGAAGACAGGTCCACCTACCTGAACAGATCACCCCAGCATCCACGGTGTGGGGGTAACCACGGTGCTTCAATTCAATGATTGTACACTCCTTTAGGGAAGACTCTGTCCCGTTGCAGAAGACTGAGGTCAGCAGGACAGCTCCAGACCCTGGTCCAAATTGGCCCTGTATTGGCACTGATACAGCATGGCCGCAGACCAGCTGCCTGCACACCACTGTGGCATCTCTGATATCCCAGTCATAGTAAGCTAGTGTCCCCCACTCTCCTTTATAGTGAATCTCCACTGTCCCCTCACAAGGATTGGCACCATTGACTAGTCTCACATCCACATTGCCTGGAGAGAGAGGAGACACAGACTGATTAGTGCACAAGCTGACAGTATCTAATAACCCAGTGTCTGGAGAGACACGCAGACTGATTAATAACACACAGACAGTATTAACCTCTGTTGCACACACACGTACAAATGCCAAGCAATGATGGTGAGGATCGCAGTTGTAACACTCAATAGAAAAGGAGGAGTACGGCCAAAAGATTATGGTGATGCCCCAAGGGGCATTGCAACAGAGTTTCTTCAAATAGGCACATCATGGTCAACAGACACCACCAGACAGCCATTAGACTCAAA